TCTCTAGGGCTTACCATTGCCTCTGTAGTCAAAAAAAAGTTGTCAAATGCGAGACTGACATGAGCAACAGTCCGTGATTTCCTTAGAACTTTCTAAAAAATTCTCTCTCCTGCACCATCACTCTGTAATTAGGGAGCTGGTGATCATCCCTGAAGTTTGGCTGTTACAGTTACTATTGTGCACAACTCCATGCATTTCCAAGAAACTTCTGGCCCTATATAAACTGGGGCAGCTCTACTGGAAATAAACACCTTAACAGTTAAGGTAATAATTCTACAAGGGTATGCCTGTCAGCTTCCAAGACCAAAATGAATTAATATCAACACGAGAATTTCTTAAGGTCTTTGTGACAGATGTTTGTTAACTTAAAAATAATTGCAGAATAACACAAGATAGGACTCTTTTCCAGCTCAGCAAACTGCCTTATTCAAAGATCTCTTTCTTCACACTCATCGCCCTGTTCGAGTACCTGGAACACGAATCAACTTTTGTTTTTGTTTTTGTTTTTAAACAAATTCCCCTAACAAAGCTGTCTCTACCTCCCTGAACTGCTTACTAGATGGATTAAAGAAGCAGAGAACCCTGCTACAAGGAGGACCAGAATCAGAATCTCAGAAAAGATTAGTCTTTTCAGTTTGCACTCATGAGGTATTAATACTTTGGTTCAAAACTGTTTTGACCTACCATGAGCTTTTGGGAGACACTGTTATACATTGAGTAGCGGGACGAAGTACCCTCCACCAGAGAGTCTTGTTTGAACTCATTGTTGAAGACAAGTCTTTTTTCATCACTCTCACTCTCAGACCCACTGCTGCTACTGGAAGACTCTGAAAACAAGAAAAATGAAAGAAGTGAATGCACACTACAACAAAACAAAAAAACCACCACCAAGGCTTCTCAGTAATGCCATCAAGAACTACACGATAGGACGCACCAGGTGAGTAGGGAGGGAGGCCCTGCAACCCACTGAGTACTTTCCCTTTTCCTGTGCTGTGATCGCAATGAGGATGAAGCAATGGCACAAATTTCCTTCCAGAAATTTATCTAGCACCACAGCAGTCCTACTAAAGTCTGTACTGTGGGGCAGGCCATAAAGATTACTGAAGCAGCAATCCACAACGAGCATAGCCACACTCTTCATTAGACCTCTGCCTCTTGAGCATCCCTTGTTCAATGACTACTAGAATTCATTCCATGCTTCTTTGCACAACTAGGTGTTGAACCATAAAAGCTACCTCAAGATAATTGTTGTCAGCAGAGATTATCTTTCCTTGTTTATCACTTCAGAAGGAATTAGATAGCTGCACACAGGTATTAAAAAAAAAAAAAAATGACAACCTAGAAGAGATTGAACTTTTCTTAATTTTTTTCTAATTTAAAAAAAAAAACCAACTCTATTTCCCTGTTATGGATAACTGAACCCCAGTGAAATAGCAAGAAACAACTGCAGAATTAGTAAAGAATTGCCATTACCAAGGTAAATTACTAAAGGTCATTAGTCAAGAAAGTGAAAGACTCAACAGTGAAATATGTGGCTGTAGTTGTAATTGTTTCAATGTGTACAATCTCTGCCGTTTAATTATCAGCCTTTAAGACAGCTATCACGCTGGAGCTTATAGCATTAATATTTGAGACTTTCAGCTCAAAACAAAGAAGGCTGCGACGTAGCATGTTTGCAATGGTATATTCCCATCTTACTTTTCAAGCACCTGTCACACAATTTACATTTCTCCTTCACAAAGGTCTCAGAGATTAACAGAATCAAAACCATTTCACTTAGGGCCAGTTACTGCTTTCTGCTTCTCCAGTCCTCAGCTTCAACAATCTTTGCTACGTGCTTTTGAGCTGCGTTTCATTTTCCAGGGTTCACAATGGGTTCTCAAAGACAATTCGGACTACATAATCTTAAAAAAGTTTCTTTGCAACTCTTCCTGCTTTTAACATTTGCAAGGACATGTACACACACCATACCCAATCACTGCCACTACTCTCAAACCAATCATTCACCTTTCATGCATTCTTCGCCCTCTACTTTCACTTCTTTCTATGTTGACACCCTTTCCTTACTAACACTTGACTACCATAGGAAATACCAAGACTGAGAAGTACAAAGAGTGTGAAGTAACATGAAGTATCATCCTGGAAGAGATTAAAGCACCTCATAATAGGGACAGCAATTGCATAGGGCAATTGCTCTCCTCATCTCTGGTATACTAGAAGTAAGAAAGCACTCTCCAGCTTGGGGAAGAGGGAAAGAAGGAAACAAAACACTAGGCAATTTGTTTAGGTAACTCTGAAACAGTTATTCTTTCTGAAGCGAAATAAACGTGAACTTTCACAACTTACAAAACAAGAAAAAAAACAACTTTCACACGGATCCAATAAAAGAGATAGCACTGTAATGCAGGAGAACATGATAACATCTAATGCCTAGTGTTTGTTTAAAAAAAAAAGCAACACAAGGTATTAGACATTACCATTATTATTATTGTTACTGCACAACACACAACTCCTCACTACTGAAAGCTTCCACAACAAATATATCTCCTGAGACTGAAGAGACTAATGCTGTCTACATATGAACAGAATTTTACAGCTTTTGGCCATGGACTTGTCTATTTCCTATGTCTGCAATCATGAAATACCCAGACCAAAGTGTTTGTGAGAGTCTTACTTTTAAAAGCTTAAAAAAAAAAAAAGAATTGCCACCAAACAGATTTGTGAATTAAAAAAAAAAGACACAGCTTTTCTACTAAAGACAAAGTGCAGTCTTGAAGTTCCATCCATCAACCAGAGATGCCAACCACGGTTTGGGTTGGAAGTGACCTTAAAGGCCATCCAGTTCCAAACCCCTGCTGTGGACAGGGTTGCCAACCACCAGGATCAGACTGCTCTGAGGCCTTGAATGCCTGAAGACATAGGGCATCCAAAGCTTCTCTGGGCAGCCTGTGCCAGCGCCTCACCATCCTCTGAGTGAAAAATATCAACAATCTTTTCAAAGTTTAAAGTCATTCTTTCTTGTCCTACCACTACCAGTCCACGTAAGAAGTCTCCCTCCTTTATAAGCTCCCTGTAAGCACAGGGAAGCTGCAATGAGGTCTTTCCAGAGCCCTCTTTCCTCTAAGCTAAACAAGCCCACCTCCCTCAGCCTTTCTTCACAGGAGAGGTGCTCACGGCCCTGCAATTCCTACTTGTTAGTTAGATTCCCCACAGCAACACTTACAACCTCCAACTGTACCTTGAGTAGTATGGTTACTAAGCTGAGCTTCATCATCTGAAGTAGAACTGAGAGTTAAACCCAAGTCTTCTGCCTTCTTCTTCTGCTTCTTTTGGGGACTGCTAAATTCAGGCTCAGTTCTTCTCTTCATTTTTTTCTGAAAGAAGAAGATTACACTTAGTTAACACCACACAAATTAACATTCTTCTTGATGCTGAAGGGTAAGGCACACAACTCATGCTGGTAGCACGGCAGCACAGACTGCTTCATGCATTATTCTGTGTTATACTTCACAACCTGACCTGCCTTCAGGTAAAACACCAGGTTTTGTGAACCTACCTAACAGCTAGTTTAAGTAAACAAACAAAATCTATACAGAAGCTCATTTATTACTAACAACCATAGCTTGACATCCTTTCTATGAGCTACTTAAACGCTAGTCAATGAGGACAACCCAGACGCCAGCACATAAATAAATTAAATATACGACAATTAGCATTACTACCGTATCAAAGACCCGTTTAATCCAAACACACGAGAAACGAGCAACCATTACCTACAGAGGAACGCCGCAGCAGCAGAGATGCCCCAGGGCGCTGCTTCTAACCACCCCCTCTATCAGGCTGATTCCCACAGCCGCACACAGCAACCCAACACCCGCGCTTTTCCTCACCCCCACCAACAGCACCTGCTGCACTACGGCACAGCCCAGAGGGTTTCCTTTCCCTCCCCTCCCGGCTCTCCTCGTACCCGACCCTGCCGCCCCGCGCCCCTCTCTCCGCACGCACCCAGAGGCCCGGCCGCGGCTCCGCAGCGCCCTCGTCGGCGCCGCCCCCGCCGGTTTCGTTTCCCCGCTGCCCCCGCCCCGGCCCCTCCCGCCGGTCCTTTCCCTCCCGGCGGCGCGCGCCAATGACGCAGCTCCCGGCCGTGCCGGCACCGAGGGGCGGCGCTCCCGCAGGCGCGCAGCGGGCAGCTGCGGGGTCGAAAGTGGAGCGGCTCTCCCTTCCCGCCTCAGCGAGGCCCCCGCCGCGTCGCTGAGCAACGACTGCGCGGGCTGGGCGTGACCGCCTCGCTGCTTTTCCTAAGGGGAAGGGCGCAGTTACAGTGTTTTCTGTGTATATAAAATACATATGTTATACGTAAAGATGTATACGGAGCGTTGGCAGTGTCGTTAAAGCACCCCGTTATTCAGCCTGGTGGCACTTAACGAGGGAAAGAGCCCCCCGTGCTTATGGCAGAGCTCCGCCCAGCGGTACCGCAGCCTCGGCCAGGGCTGAGGCACGGACTTCTCGGAGCCCCGCCGGGCATCTCCCCGTAAAACAGCCGCAGCTCATTGCCGGAACTGGTTTTGTGAGGACAGCAGCGCTGCAGCTTCTCGCTGCACATAAAGCTAGTGCGCGCCTGTGGCAGCCTTGTCATGAGGACCTGAGGCACTGTTGTCTTTGCTTCTCACCAAGCTTGAAACCTATGGGCACACCTCACCCTAGAATCAGCAGCAGCGGACAGGCGTACTGCTCGCTATGAGGGAAGTGTGGTTTAACCAGCTGATATGTGCCTAAGTGCATGAAGTTACAAAAGGAAGAGGGAGCAGAAAGGAAAACACTGACTAGCTTGAGCACATCTTTAGGAAAGACAAAACAAACAAACAAACAAACAAACACTCAAGCTGGGGTGAGGGTATGTGAAATGCAGGACTATTGAATTGGTTATTACCTGTTCTCCAGGTCCAGTGTTCTTAAACTGTTGGAATAAACAAAACATTGATATCTCCCTAATAAGGCAATTTATAGCAATTCATTTTATTCTTCTCCAAATCTATGTAAAAGATAAAGGTTTGATTTTGTAAGGAAAGAAATTGCACTAGGCTTGCACCATCTACTAGAAATTCATGCCAAATCCCATGAACATACAGAGGAGTACAATTATACCCTTCAGTAGTAATTTCCAACCAATTATTTCAACATTTAATAAAGATTGAAGAACTCATCCTATAAGCAAGACCCATCTTCACAATACCCAAAGAAGCAGGATCAATTTTGCAGTGACAGCACCACTAAAAAAAGAATAAAATACTGATATTCCTCCTGTGTAATCCCTCACCCTTGTCTGGATGGCCATGCAGCAAATAGCAGGCAAGGTCCCACACAGCCACCACAGCACCACTCATGCAGGAGGAAGCCAACCAAGTGACTTCAGTCTAGGCAGCGAACTTAGGTACTGGGACAGGGGAGAATGGCTTGCTCCAAATAATCACAGAAAAAGGGACTTTGGGTAGTCACCTAATATTCCAGAACATAGGTGAGCTATATACAAATGCAGCATTTTTTCAGTTTGTGAATCCCAGAAGTTTCCAGTGGGAGTAAAGACACTACCTTCAGAAACTGTCTAACTGGATTTTCTGAAAGTAAAAAAGTAGTAGTATTTAAACTATTACCGATTTTGTTGGAGGTGGAAGGGGAACAGATGGAAAAAGATGTAACAGAAGTGTGCTTGACCTGCCCATAAAGGCTTTTTGTGTTGCAGAATCCTGTTTCCTCACAGTACTACAGTATTTCATTATCTTTACTTGAAACACTGGGAGAAAACAAGTGCTACCAGAAATCTTCTTATAGCAATTTAAAATAATCTCATTACTTTTTATGCTAGTCACTCTGAACCTGGAAAAGAAAACTACTCATCTTTGAAACAGCTTTTGATGCATTTGAAGACTTACAGTTGCCTCCGCTTTTTTATTTTTTTCAGACAGAAAGAGAACTGGAGTTTCTTAAACCGTTTGCACGAGGTCACATTTCTTAGTCTTCATAATCTTTCTGTTTTTCCTGCTGCTCCAAATCCATCTAGTAGTGTAGTCCCTAAGATCAAGCACAGCACTACTATGCTGGGGTCTTGTTAGTGCTGAATAGATTAGGAAACACCTACTGGTGCATATGACTTTTCCTAACTTAAATGCTCAGATACATATCTTTGCAGCAGCATATTGTCTGGGTAATACCCCCCTTATTCCATTCTCTATAACTGCTATCTGACAGATATCTTCTGTGCAAAAGTTTAAAATTTTAAGCTTGATCATAGCCAACTAGATTGCCAAAAAGAGAAACGTGTGCACTTTAGATCTTTCTATCACTGAAAACTCGTTTATGAAAGGCACTAAGCTGTGAACAAAACTTGAAACAGTCTCACTTAGTTTACCTTTCCACAGCTTCTTTATAAGCAGTATCAGAAAGCACACACAAATTTAAGATACCTACAGCTTAACTTGTCCTCTAAAAAAAACCAAACAAACACACACAGTTTTGGTATGTTTTCTTCCTGACAAATAGGACGGTGGAGTACCTTCATCACAACTCAGCAGTTGGAACTCACTTCCATACATACAGTCAACAGCTCTGGATCAGACAAGTTTTCCCAAAGAACTTACAGAACTGGGAGGAAGGGTCTGTTTTTGTCAATTATATGCTTTTGCCAGTGAACAGCATTATTGCTTAGCCTCTCTCCTTGAACCTTTACAATTTAGGTACCTATTGATAAACAGAAAAAGTTTATTACTCCATGTGTATCTTGTTGCAACTATTGGTAACAGTTTAAAAGGGTAAATATTCCACTTTTACTCAGTGTGTCCCCTCTCACTAGAATATGAAGAATATCTCTATATTCTAGTGAAAATAGCACACTCTCAAAGCATACCAAAGAACTCTGTTACCAGAAGAATCATCCTTTTCTAGTATGTGCATAAACACCAACATAAGAAAATAAATGTGTTTAGCAAAATGAAACAGGGAAAATTAAAATAAAATAAAAAAGCAAAGCAACATGGAAGAGCTACACAGTGCAAGAATTCACAGTCCTTAGTCCTTAGTTCCCTTGTTTAAGTCTTACCACTCAAATCTGCCAGAATGCACTATTTTCTTAGGAAAGCATTACCATTTAAGCACCTTTTTAATGGCATCTTTTTTTAGTAGGAGAAAATAAGAGATACAATTGTATATTCTAAATTACTGGTAAGATAGGCACTGCTAACACAGGCTTGAAGAGTTAGGACATCTTTTATCAATTCCTGCATACAGTGTTTCAAATAATTTTAAAACAGTCAAACTACTTACAGCAATGAAAACGTGAAGCAAAGTCATTAAAAAGAAACAATCTGGGTTTTCTCAATAAATTCAATGATAACTAAGAGAAAGACATTTATCTCATTGCTTGCATCAAGGAAGACTAATGCACAAATGGATTTATATTTTCCTTCTTCAGCAAAATAAACACAGAAACAAGAAAAGTACGTACAAACAGCCAAATAAATATTACAAATGAGGGCTTCCCTCATCCTCCTCTAACAGTGACGTAACAGCCCCATCTAAAAGCTAAGTCAGAAATATATGCTGCTGAAAATGGAATTTCATAGACAATTTCATACTATTTCATAGATGTGATTGGACGAGGCAAGACTTGCTTTGTCTTGGAGATGAACTCTGAGGGTAGCAAAGCCACAGCTCAATAGCAATGTTTTGTAAACGACAGAACTAAGTAGTTACTTGTGGTTGCCTACAGATGCTGCTTAACTACCCTGTCAACAGCACATTTCATTCATTCAGGTAGTAGCTTAACAAAGAGGCCAAGATTCCTCTCTGCTGCTGACAAGAACTGAAAGTATCTCTGAAGTCACTGTTAATAACTTCTGGATGTGCTGTTTCACAGTTCTAAAACTCTTTATGCAGGGAACAAACCAAAGATGCTGTATGAAAAGAGCACAAACTAAGGAATTCAGGAAGATTTAATCTTCTCTATCCCCATTCAACAGAAAATGAATAACATCAACTGAACAAACAAGCCAGCAGCTCACCTTATTTTATATTTAAGCACTTAAGGCTGACATGGTCCACAACCCACCCTTTAACTTAATGGCCAGAAAGCCCTGGGATTACTCCAGCTGAGATGAAATCAAGAGGAAAACCCGATGTTGGGATGCTTTTCTAATATATATCTCCTGTTAGCTGGTGCAAATGACCGAGTTCTCAAATATCTTTAGTTATGCTCCCTGCTGGATGAAGTAGGGGAAATTGGTACGCGCATTTAAACGTGTCATTCACTCAGAAAACAGCAGTGACGCATTCAGATATTTACACCACGCTGAGTATGTCGGAAGTGATCCTGGAAACCTAGGCCTTATATGTCAACCATCTAGCATAATAGCAGTTTGTTCTCCCACGGTCCCAGTCTTGTTTGAGAGATCAAGCTTCTGTACATTCTCTTAAAAAATAAGGTCGTTCTTCCAAATGTTGCTAATGCTCAGCTCCAGTTCCAGCTTCTTCACTGAATCTCTCCTTCCAGATGCCCAGTCCACTCAACCAGCAGTAGTAAACCAAACTCCATTAGACTGTTTCCGGTCAGCACGCAGGCAAGCCAGCCTGCAGTTACATTGTTTAGATAATGCAGTAGCTTCCATTATAATAAGAATCCTCCTCAGAGTCCTCACTGTCACAACTGCTGATTGACAAGATGGAATAGATGGAAGGAATGATGCTGCTGTCATTGTCTGTGGCTGGGTTCACCAACACATTTCGTTTCTCTGCATTCAAAACAGATATAAAAATTAGCATTAGTCCCTGTACCCTCAAATGCTCCCCCCCAAAACTATTTTTCTTTGATTCTTCTAGCCTCCCACTAACAGTCAGTATGAAGTCCTTCAAGCTGCAGGGCACAGGAATTTTTTTGCTTCAATTTTCAGCATTAAAAGAACATTGTTTGTTGTTTTAATTTTCCTGTAAGTCTCCTCATGTTAAGATAGCACAGATGAGGAAGAGACATTCTGGATCCCTTCAGTAGCACATAGCTGACAAAAGGCAGTGGTTAGTTATTACAACACCCTGCCAGGTAAAATAGGAGTATGCAACAGAATGTGGTAAGGAACAAGTAATGGCTGCTCAGGACTCAAGGCCCCATCAAAACCTCCACACATTTAAGAGCACACATTGTTATACTGGTGTCCATTGTACTAAAGTTTATCATCTGACTGGGCTTTTCAAGTGCTACTTCCTTCATTATTTCAATTTCAACTGATTTCTTCTTAGGAGTTCACAGTGAGTTAGACACATGGCTGTCTCCCTCCAAACCACAAGTTTCCGTCACTGAATGAGCAGATCACACAGAAACAATTCTTTCTACCTCCTGAAGTGCACCATGGTGAAGCTATATGATTTCCTACTACTAACCATTTTATCTAATTACAGCCTACATTCACGTGATAAACACTATTAGCCTATTTCCTTTTTGTCTGAACAAGCATGTAGACCATATTTTCCAACACGTGAAACCCAAAGTTTCATTGGAGTGCTGCTCCAATAAAGGCAGCACTTCATCTAATCTCCATCAGATATCTGATGAGACATTTCAATAGTGCTACAGCATATTCTGAAGCAGTGCGTATTATGCAAGAGCAGTATTAGTTCTGCAAAGGTGAAAGCAAATCAAGAAGCCATGCTGGACAACTTCCAGGCAGCAAAGCATTTCCCGAGGGAATCAGAGTGGCTCGGTTAAATGGGCGATGATTTCAGATAAGAAATAACACTGTTTAGCCATGTCATTCTATGTCACCATGCAGAATCTGAAATATTTCAAAAGCACCTTCATTAGGAAGGATTTCAAAAAGGCTTGACACACTGCAAAACAAAGGATCATGCATTCACATCTATGAGGGGGTAGCAGGAAAATTATTTAAGGGAACACAATAGAAACTTGTTAAGAGGTAGCAAGAAGTTGTACATTTCAGCACCTAGATACCAGAGTCAATTGCTCTAGAAACAACACTGGAAGATGTAAGCAGAAGAGGAATACCTCCATATTGGAATTTTACTCACAGCCCAGATGGTCACGCACAGTCTTTTAGCTACAACAATTTTTTGTGTTAAAATCACATAGATAAATTCCTTAAGAATTAGTATGGAAGAGTAACTGTCATTTCAGCCATGCATTCACTTACATGACATACTCCCCAAATTCCCTTCAGAGATTTCTACACAAATCTAGCATGTAAAAAATAATTCAGAGTTTATCATTAGGCATTGCTCTGTTGTGTTTTTGCAATGATGTGGTTGACAGTTCAATCAAAAAGGTCAATTTTTTAAGTCTCAAGTTTTGCTCTTCTTTAGTGATCTCTTTAAAATCTCTTGGTAGGACCACTAGCATGTTTAAGTCTTCCAGATGGACTGTGAAATTCATACTGAAGTCTTTCTCCAATGTTTTTTTTTATTTTACCATGCAGTAAAGCTGGTAATACAGCATATCTTAAAATCATTTTCCCATCTCAATTTGCTGATTCTACCAATAATGAATATTGTCCAGTACATCTGCTGCATTTCCTGAGCATCTCCTTAGTATATAGGTGCCAAAGTTGGACGAAATAGATGAAATGAGAGATTGTGCTCATCATGCCACATCCACCCACCTCTCACCTTTCCGCTCTCTGATCAGGGTCAGGCGATGCTCTTTCATTTCCACATCCAGATTTTCTACCATCCTGTCAATGCAGTTATCCAGCACCAGAGAGCGTGTCTTCGACTTAATCTCCTGCCTGCAGATGGGGCATTCCACTTTGCGCTTTGTCCACTCGTCTATACAGTAGGAGCAGAAGCTGTGTGCACAGTTCAGAGTGACTGCCTGTGCAATTTGAGGGAGAGATACTTATGAGAGCGTGCTCACACAAGCATTGTAAAGAAAAAAACCTCAAAGTCAGAACACGTTGACTGAATGCTTCCTATGAGAAAAGGCTGGGGAAGAAGCACAAAGGCCCTTTTTTTCAGTCTCTGGAGGGGCTGCACTTAAAACAACTCTCACAAGCCAGAGTACAGGCAAGTTTACACATTAGTGGATTCACCATAATCACAGCAACCCTACAGCTAAGTCAGAAAAACTGACAGAACAAATGAATTGCATTATAACATCCCCCAGTTTGAAAAGGTCAGATTATAGAATAACTCAGGTAATTTAAGATAATATTCTGCATCTGAAAAAAGAAACTCAAATTCTAACCGACTCCTAGGTCATTTTAAGAAAGCTAACAGGTTTCCTACAGTAGAAATGAATTGAATGAAACTGAAATTCCAGTAAAACATGAACAGACAGAACAGTCTATCTACATTTCAGGCATCATCTGCCTATTCCTTCTCAAATCAGTTTCTCAACTTTACGTGAACTACATAAATAGTTTAGAACTCGATGAACACTGCACTTCCCTTATAGCCTGCTCTTACATCTAACACTGAAGCTGCCCAACCCCAGTCAACTTGAAGCAAGGTCTACCATAGAATGACTGAGCAGGCTGCCAGCAGCACCTCAAGAGCACCAGTTCGAACACTAATAGCTCCTGCAAGCCTGAATGCATCTTGGGATTAAGCATTCATACCTCTGCAAGGAGAGACATTAAAGCCAAATTTGTTGCCCAGAAGAATTTTTAGAGCAGACAGAATGGGTTTCTGGATCAACCCTTACCATAAGTCATCTGTTGGGTCTGCTAAGTTACTGAAGTAAAGAAAAGAAAGCTTGACTATTGCTTTAGCAGAACTAGAGAAAGCTTTTCAAGTCTCTTCTTTACTGGCAAAGCCATACTGGCTTAAACATACCTCAATGAAGTGCTCAGAACAGATCGTGCACTGCAGCTCATTCTCTAGCACATCATTCATCTGATTCAACACTTCTTCTTTTTGGGCTTTCACCTTTTCCTTCTCCACCTATCAGAAAAACAAACAGTTCAGTTATGAACAACAAAGCTTAATGCAATAATGGTGGAACTGCATGTGTTGAGGAAGGTAATACAAGTAAAAAAATCACGCAGCTTTAAGTTTTTCCATGTTAAGTCTGTGTTATGTATCCAGATTTGTAACCTCCCTCCTTTTTGTAGTTGCAGCAGTACTGAGAACGTTCCTGTCCATTATAGAGTATAGCTTCCAAGAAAGAATAACAATTACTAAAGTCCCCTTCAGCCTAAAGAAACTACAAACCAGATCAGTCTTCTCAAAATCTCTTATAAGCTCTTTTTGGCCTGAGTTTGGATTAAGTTAACATAATGGTTTGATGTCTAATGTAAAGAGCAAAACAAAGTAACACAAATATTAGAAAAGTAAATATAATAAATTAAAACATTTACTTGTGTTTAACTGACCAACATATTTTGCTGTTAAATTAGGCTTCTAGGCATCTGCTACATCATCTAAGAACTATCCTTAAAGCAACAGTTGCAAAGATGACAGAAGAAAACAAAGCAAATAGCCAAAGGTATGAAACATCATAATTTCCAAGTGTAGAACATAACACAAGATCCCTTGAATTATCTTCCATTCATCAAGTTGACAGAGGCTGGAAGAAACATTCACTACTAAAATTTCATGTTGTTTCAATTCTGTACTCCCTTGTTTGACTGCAGGAACACACTGCAGTTCCTCTCGAGTCCATGCAAACTCAAAATGAAACACCCACTTTTCCCATACAGTTTTTTATTTTTAAAGAATGGTGCACAAGATGTTGTTCAGATGTCCTGTGCTTTCTGTTTCATGGAGAAAGATCTGGTAATAACTCTCTAATACTACTTCACAAACAGAGCAGAGAGTACGTCTACTGATGATCCCCACCCTCACCCCCCACTCTTTCATATTTCCATGCAAATTCTGGAAATCTGAATCAGCTGCCAGACCAAAATACAAGAGCTTTTCACCACAGAAGGCAACACACAGTCAAAGCAAATGTTAAACCATTTATTCTGCCACAGCATATTGTATTTCAGTCATGGAGAACTTGGTTTCATTCCTTACCTTGGTTTCCTCCAGTTCTTTATTCTTGGCTCGAATTATCTCCTCAAAATCTTTTTTACTACGGCTCAGTTCTTCCATCAGAGCATGATGCTGTAATGACACCATCCCAAAAATAAGAGTGTTATTATAAGCTACCCTATTAAATATACATGGCTGTAACCATGAGGTTCAGCATACTCCTTTCTCCTGTCTTCTCCTAAAAGAGCAACACCTGTCTATATGAGCCAGGGTGTTAAGGCAGTTCACCCTGAACTTACAATTGCAATGTAGTGTCAGTTATTTATGATCTTCCCAGCAGCACGATACTTTTAATTTCCTCTCCCAAGTTACTCATTCTCGTCTATCATTAGACATCTCCCTTCTTGCAGTGACACAAATGGCATGTAAAATCCTGTAGTTTTACAAGATAAAAGCAAGCAGCATTAAACAAGAAATACATGCCATACAATAATGAATGAGGAGAAAAAAAGTCACAAAGTCCACAGCAAAACTCACTGTAGGACACGGTAGTAAAAATTAAAATGTGATAATAAATGACTCGTTGCCCAAAGAGGCTGTGGATGCCCCATCCCTGGAGGCATTCAAGGCCAGGCTGGATGTGGCTCTGGGCAACCTGGTCTGGTGGCTGGCGACCCTGCACATAGCAGGGGGGTTGAAACCACATGATCATTGTGGTCCTTTTCAACCCAGGCCATTCTATGATTCTACGCACTGCAGAATGAACCTGCACATCAGACAGTACAAAAGCAACTTTTCTGAGCAGAGCTTACTCAAACTACAGAAGTTCCCTATGGATAACCAAAGCAGCTGTATCCTGTACTCTGACTCTAATTGGAGTTGGAGCTTACACAATATTGGACTCTACCAGAAATGATAGGCAGGACTGTCACAGGACATGGATCAGACAAGAAGAAAGGTTGTTCACATAATTATTTCTAAGCATATCTAAAACTTATTCATAAGCTCCATATGACTTGGCGGAAAGCTGCAGAGAGGAAAATGCCCAAAAGTACGACCTCAAAGTTTTCAATAATTAGCTGGATTTCTCCTGACTTTTCCCAGTTATGGCACTGGGGAAAATCTGCAAAGTAGTAGCAAACAACTGCTTCATAACCAAGAGAAACACCTGCAAGAGCGGACAACACTCAGAAGGCTGTGGGCTATTAATACAGCTTATGAATGTTCTACCAGACACAGCACATTCCAGGCACCACTCCATGATCATAAAATGAATGACTCCAGCTGCTATTGCAGCATACTGGATGCATAGTGTGTTCTTACATCTTTGCTCATCTACTTTGATTGTAAACATTTCAAAACAAAGATTGAGCCTCTGATATGGTGTGCAATAGCACTGAAGTTCATAAAGAAAACTCAACATACTACTCCAGTCACCTTCCAGTATCGCTGAATAACTGACTGCATGATTTCATTCCACTTTCAAAGCCTGTCTTAACAGGCCACACTATTTTGAAAGGCACATTAAAATTCAGCCTAACGACTCCAATGGTTTGGCAACATCTGCAATTTACTTTACATTTCAGCTTGGTTTTCTGTTTGCAGTCTTGAGTGCATCCATCACATCTGAGTGTCATGGAGCATCTGACACACAAGTGTCATGAAAGCCTGTCAACACATGCAGCAGGGCTGGCTCAATCTCTTTTTGGATTAGCCTTCCGAAAGGAAAGACCTTTCAGACAGAAAGCCTAGGAAAACTAAGCATGTGACAATCTCTTTCAAAAACACTCCTAACCAAAACTAATTCTTCTTCCTGTGGTTTAAATCTTCCAAGGCAACTTTCCCAAAACAGATAACCAGAGGACAGACCTCATAAAAATGTCCACCAGCACGTTGACCAGATTCAAGTAGAATCACTACAGCTACTTAATACTTTCTAAAAGTACAGATTCTCGTGTTATCTGCTGGCAAACAGCAACTCCCAGAAAAGGAGGCCTGTCACTTTCTAACCATAATTTGGTCTGTAGAAGATGAAGACCACTCCAAATGCACTTCACGCACAGTCCTAGTCTTCCACCAAGAGTGGAAGCAGTAAGATTTAAGTATATGAGTTCAACAGTTAGACCAAGTAGACTTAATTACTTGCCTCTTGCAGAACCTGGGCCAGCTGCTCCTTCAGATTCTCTTCCCCATCTTGCCATTTCTCTCCCTGAAAAAGAATCAAACACCAAAACTAGATGTTTTTGTTACTGGAAGAAGAAAAAAAAAATACTTGAAGATAACACAGGAATGAAAAGAACTGTTTTGCACATTTAGAGGATATACTTTAAGCAACAATACTGATTTTCAGCAAAACCAAAACCTGAAAAGCCCCACTCTAGCAATTCATGTGCACTACTGAAATTACAGCTCTCCTTTACTGTGAAGAGCTAAAATGAACGTATCATTTACAGTTCCATACTTGGAACAATTCCATGTTACTGTAGCTCTGAAGACACTGCAATGTTGACAGAAGCCAGGAAGCTGGCAATAGCTTACACGTGAGAAAAAGCTGCAGCTCTATCTCGGAACACATTTAAATAGGTCAGACGGAGTTACAGCTTCAGCTGAACTTCCTTTTGTCCTAAGCACACAACTCCAAACCTCCTGCACTTCTGATACAGTATCCTGCTTTTAGCAGCAGACTTTAAAGGAAGTAACTGATAAGTCTGTAGGTAACTCCCAGAAGAATTCTTACTTCCTTTAAACCAGATTTCAAATAAAGCCAAACAGAAAGACTTGTAGCTTCCTATCTAAAAAAAGTTATCAACATACACATACTGCTTGAAGGCATTTGCAGGTAGCAAGAACAGACTATTTTTCTTACGTTAAAACAAACAAAAAACAAAAACATCAACACAAAACCCTCCTTCCTCAAGCTCTGAATTAAGAGAGAAAGGCAAACAATGATGCACTTGCTTGAAAAGGAAATGGATTCCCCATATGAATTTAGCATTAATTCAGAAAAAGCTATATACTAGAAAAAATTCCCACTTAAGGTGAACACTTTTTAACTTGTCCTCTTTGTAACCACACAGGGTCAGAGTTTTAATTTCAAAATTGAAGGAAAAAAAATCTCAAAACACACAGACCAAAATGATTACCACCATTATACCTCTAGCTTCTGCTTCTCTTTGGAGAATGTCCTTTCCAGCTCTTCCACCTGCTGCTGATGCTGTACTTGTTCTGTGCACAGCTTGTCCTGCAATTCTTGCAGCTCTTTTTCCATCGTTAGGATTGTCTTCTGAGCAGCCTTCCTGCGCTTCTGTTTCGCATTCAGAACTGCTGTCTGTTTCTCCTGCACTTTGACTTTTAACTTCTTTATGTCTATGAGAGTTTTCCTCAGCTTTTCCAGGCCAGTCCATGACTGAGAAAGAACAGAGTGTTTCTGGCCCTCATGAGCAACAGCCACAGCTTTCTCAGAGCAATCAGGGCTACCACGCACTGGACCCCCATCATCCTCACTTGACCCAGCAGAGGGCAGCTTGACCTCCATCTTGTCTGTCAACTGCTTTGTCTCTCCTACTCTTGCCAACAGATTACTCAAAGGTTCACCATCACATGACACTCTGTCCCTTTTGGATCTGGAATTTGAAGGGCCTTCTGAGCCAGACGTCTCCGATTCTTCCAAAGTAAATTTACGTTTAGACCTTGAGCTCTTGGTTTTACCCAGGTCACTCCTTTGGGCTAAAAAGGGTCTGATTTTCTCCCACTCCTCTCTAATTACTTCATACTCATATTCAGCAGTCTCTCTGTTTTCCAAAGGCACTCCCAACTGGATGCGGTCTCCTTCTGCTAAAGGATAGGTTTTTGAAGGATCCAGACGTTGTTTATTAAGCCAAACTCCATTTAGACTCTGAATATAAACAAAGAATCAGCAAGATTTAATATATGGGCACAAAGTCATCTGCAAGTTATTTCTGGCAACTGTAAACGTATCCAGTCTCTGCAGTATTGCAGTCAGAACAAGCCACCTCTTTAAATAAACCTTGCAATATCCAACTTAATGGCCCAATGCCCCATTTATTACAGTCAATGCATTATACTATTTACCTTGTATTATTACCACCACATTGCAGATTTTTGTGTACAAGAACAAAATTAATATATGCACTTCTGCAGATGGAAAAGAAGTAAGTCTAAGGGAAAGAAACTACCCAAAAGCTTCAGGGGAAATAAGAACTATCCAGCTGAAAAATTCTGCAATACATCATTGACAAGAGCAAAGAACATTGCAGTAATTATTCTTGACAAAGTCACCTGAAATCCAAGAAGAAACTAGAAAAGAAAAATGACCATAGCTTACACTGCCTAATGAAAGAAAAGAAATGAGACAGTTCTCATAAATACAAAGGAAATACAAACAAGGGAAAGATTCTTCAAGAGATGATGCTCTAATCAGAAAACGATGTGGGTTTTTTTGTTTGTTTGTTTGTATTTTTAATTAAGCACTAGCTCAAGAAATTGTTTTTAGAAACAGAGCTGTGCTCAGGATGAACTGCAGAATCACAAGCAACTGACATACCTCAAAGATATTCAACAAAACAACTTCACAAAAATGGTAGCAGTGATTACATTGAGGCATTAATAGCTACTCTACCATAGATATTTCCAATCACACACAGTAAAATCTCAAAATTGTACAATCACTCCACTACAGCCTTGTTTAAGAGTAATTTTAACAGCAGCCAATCCCTTCCTTTTTGGCTAATCTGTTGTTGACCTAAACATCCTTCAAGACTGTATGATGAACTGAACGTTTTTTGCTGTGCTAGTGCTATTTTAAGGCAAGTTACTGATTCCACAGCTTTCAGCACGACTGTGAAAGTGCAGAGTTCATGATTAAAAAAAGGAATCGCCACTGGAAAAGACAGACCAAGCTGAAGACTCTGGTCTCAACAGTTTTTCTACATTCTAATCAGCTGAGGAGGACTTTAACTAGAATACATTTGAAGTCAATGCAAAGCATGCTTTTTTTTTTTTTTTTTCTAACAACAGATTCTCATTGTAGTTGGTTATAATCAAAGCAATTTTGTCACTGCAGCATCAGTGTATCCTTTTCATAGCAGTACAATCACATTTATCTTTTTGAATGCTGCTAAATTATTTATTTTAAATTAGAGGAACACAAAGCAATTTCACAAACTGCAGAGTGCTCTGTGTAGGACTGTAATTGCCTGAAAATGCTAGACCAAGGGATAAGTCCACATATAGAAAGCAATAAGGCCTGTATCCCAACTGCAGCAGAGCAAAGCTTCCTGCTACAAGTGCACAACAGACACAACGTGCTTCCACAAACTTTCCATCACATTCACACCGTATTATAATCAAAGATCATACATTATTTGATGCCAAACAGGCATCAAATAGTGATACAGTGAATAGTGAATACAGTGAAACTAAAAGGTCTTTAGTCGGTCTCTGTACCTTATTATCCTTAACAGTCCACTGCCCTTCTGCATTTTGCTGGAAAACACAGTGCTTACGAGAAATCATCAAGGGACAGGTTTTTGACACCAGCTGGTACGTGAGATCTAATCCCCGGCCTACAGTTACCTAAAAAGTAAAGACGTTGAAACAAGAATCAGCAAGATAATAAATAGAAGTCGCATGAGATGAATATAAACACAGCAGAAATCTACCTTGATTAGCATCTTATAGCTATTTCCCAACAGTTCAGGATAGTATGTTGCTACGTTCGTTTGTTTTTCTTTAAATTCATGAGTAACTAAAAAATGAAGTTTGAAGGACTCTCTCTCCCACTGATAAAAACTTGATTGTTGCAAGACAGGTTACAGCCTTGGTCTCACAGAAAATTCTCTCAGCAGCAAAGCTGCTAAAAGTAGCTCTCACTTCATCCATGCCTTACCTCATTCATATCCTAACTAACGAGTATTTCTTCAAACCAGTGCAATAGTGTGGGTCCCAAACTTATGTCTTACCCTCTTCTTTAGCTAACAGCATCTGTTCAACTCTCTGTAAACAGGAAAGATACGGGACAAAAATAGCGCAGAAAACTGTCATGATACCCAAACTATATGCTGCTTATAACCAGTCTGAAAGTAAGCTAAATAATCTGATCAGAATCCAACAGCATCTTCTGCAAGAAGAAGGCATAAGGGCATGGTACAGTTTCATAGTAGCTTGTTAAATCTGATCTAATTGCAGGCTGCCGTTTAAAGCACAGCTCCATTCTCCCTCTCTCCTGTGAAAGATCACCAACAGCAGAGTGCTGCAGCAAAGAGAGCTTCACCTCAGCGAGATTCTCCATGCAATTCACACAGCCTGTGATGCAAGTCTGGCACATTCCATACTCAGCAACGTGCACCTGTTGCTGAGAATGTGTGCACACCTCCCGGTTCCAAAACCACCCTTGAACGCTTTTCCCTATGTGCTCCTGAGATACGATGGAAGCAAATACAAAGTATCACCTAAGTAACTGAGGCACAAAAATCTTATAGGCCGTACAGCGCTAACCCCGGAAAGTGAGGCCTTTTTCCCTTACACTACAGTCGCATAAACAACTTCTATCAGACGTGAGCTGACGTTAAGGACCGTAACAGCGAGGTACGCAGGAATTTGAGCTTCAGATCCCGATCTCCCCCCTTGCCCCCGCCCCCCCGCACTGAAAGCCCAGCCTCGGCTTTTCCCCTCGTTCCACCACCGGGCTCCACCACGCCCGCTCTAGGAGGCCTCCCCCCAACCTTCCCACTGAAGGGCCGCCTCCCGCGCCCCGCTGACCTGCGTGCCGGCCTCCAGCAGCAGCCAGCCGCCGCCCACCCCGACCCTCCGCAGGCACCAGGCCGGCCGCGACGCCCCGCACGCCGCCATGCCGCCCTCGGCCCGCAGCGGGTTGGGCTCCCGGCGCTCCTCCGCCGTCCCGTCGGCCCTCGCCTCTGCCGGAAGTCGCCGCACTGACTTCCGCCCTCGGCCAACATGGCGGCGGCCAGTCCTCTGCGCCTCCCGCTGCTTGCGGTGCGGCGGTCCTGGCCCCGCTGCCCCCGCCGCGGTGCCGCCTGCCCGTCTGCGGGGCGGATTCGCGCCGCCTTCCTCCGCTTCTTTGAGGAGAAGCACGGCCACCGCTGCCTGCCCTCCGCCCCCGTACGGCCCCGCGGCGACCCGACCCTCCTTTTCGTCAACTCGGGCATGAACCAGGTGCGGGCCCAGCCCTTCCCGGATTCTCTCCCCGCATGAGCGTGGGTAGCAGCCGGCGATAGCTGCTAGTGTCTCTTTCCCGTGCTCTCTAGTTCAAGCCCGTTTTCCTGGGCGCGGCACATCCCCGCAGCGAGCTGGCGCAGCAGCGGCGAGTGGTGAACAGCCAGAAATGTGTGCGTGCTGGGGGGAAGCACAACGACCTGGAGGACGTGGGCCGTGACACCTACCACCACACCTTCTTCGAGATGCTGGGGAACTGGTCCTTCGGGGATTACTTCAAGGTGAGGTGGCAAGAATAAGTCCTCATCTGGGGGACGTGCAGGCCTTTTCTTCAAGCATCGTAGCTGTACTGTGATACCAGTGCTGCACTCTGTCATGGGCGCTACAGCTCCAAACTCTGTGGTGCAAAGCTGAGGGGTCAGGTGCTGTGCTGAATCACTGCAACTGCTTACAGAGAGCTAGAGCTAAACATGCTTCTCTGGTGCCTGTCATTTTGAAGAACCCCCTTTTCTCACTCCACTCTGTATTCCTGTGCTTCCTTTGTGTCCCTGTCTGCTCAGGAGGAGGCGTGTAGCATGGCCTGGGAGCTCCTGACAGAGGTCTACAAGATCCCAAAGGATCGTCTCTATGTCACGTATTTTGGTGGAGACTCTTCACTGGGGCTGAGCGCAGATGAGGAGTGCAGGGATGTATGGCTCAGCTTGGGGTAAGCATGCTGGAGAAGGGGCTCTGAGCATTAGATACTGACATCCAAGTCTCCATAGTCTCTCATTTTTTCTTTAATTGATGGAAGATAGATGTGGCAGTGAGTCTTCAACTCATTTAGTTTTTTCTTCCTTTGGGTTACTGAAAGTTGGACTCTTCATCCTCTGGATCATTTTACCTTTAAGCTACTGCTCAGGTGCAGTTGGTCTGTGGCTGTATGCCTCAGGCTTTCTAACCTGGATGCAGTGTGCTAAAGATGTCTGTGATCCTTTACTTCTTCTCCACAAGGAGTTGTGCCGTCTGCATTCTGCTAGCAATTGCTGCTTCTAGGCTGTACGTGAGCTTTGGGCCCAAGGCAGCCAGCTCAGTGCTATTTGTAATGGTCAGTCTTGTTCCTCATGTCATGGCTCTGGTGCAATTCTTTCCAAGGAGAAAAGTGGCTCTACAAACCCAGTGACACATCTGTCTCCATCAGCAGGAGCCATGCTGGTTTTGCTGGCCATTCTCAGCAGTGACGAGGGTCCTGTCTGGTTTGATACAGCTTTTTGCTGCTAAGGAGGCTAATTCTACGTGAACAGAAGCAAACAGGTCCTAATGCGTTTGGATTCTGAGTTTGTAGTAGTCAGGGAGGATCTATCCTTTTAATTTTCCTTGTGATATAGTGTAACGTGTGCTTTGCATGTGCACACCAACATTGCCACCTCTGTTGTTTGCCTTTCCAGAGTGCCTGCCAGCCACGTGCTGCCTTTCCCAATGAAGGACAACTTCTGGGAGATGGGTGACACAGGTCCCTGCGGTCCTTGCACGGAGATCCACTATGACCATGTGGGTGGTGGAAGAAATGCTTCAGCACTGGTGAACCAGGGCAGCCCTGATGTAGTGGAGATCTGGAACCTGGTCTTCATGCAGTATAGCAGGTACCAGGAACCTCCTCTGAACTCCAGTGCCTTTCTCTGTTACATGCCATCTAAATCATGCATGTATACTTTTAGGCACCTCACTGCTTTCCAGGAGGTGGCAGTAGAGGAGCAAAGGAGAAGCTGGGAGGATGTGTCCACTGAGAGTCGTGGTTCTCCTTAGCTTTTATCCATTCATCCTTTAAATTATTACACCAGAGATCAGGTCTGCAGCAGTACAGAGAAACTTGGAGGGTGAGAAGACTGCTGTTTAGAAAAATCCTTTTTCCATCTATTGCAATATATCCTGATGATCTGATGACCAGAGCCTGGCTACCAGTCAGTGCCAAGGCAGGCTGCTGTTAGTCTTGTCCCTGAGTTATCATGTGTTGGATTACCTGCTGCTTCTATCCCATCACTCCCTTATTGCACTCCCATCCTCTGCATCTCAAGTACATCTCTTCTTTGCCCAGAACTGACTGGTACTTTTCTTCTGCCTTTTATTTTTCCTAACTTGCTGACAGAGAGGTGGAGGGGAACTTGCTTCCCTTGCCTCAGCACCATGTGGATACAGGAATGGGCTTAGAAAGGCTGGTGACGGTTCTGCAGAACAAACGATCCAACTACGACACAGATCTCTTCACTCCCATCTTGGATGCCATTCACAAGGTGATCCTGTTTACAGTCACAGCTAAGTGAAAGCTCTTCTGGAGCAAGCTATTTGCCTCATGCCATACTACAGCCTTGCCTTCTTTACACAGTATTTTGAGACAGGAGGTATGTCTGGCCAGGCCCCACACGGGGAAACTCGGGGTCAATTCCACACTGGAAATCCACTAGTACAGCAGCATTGATGATCCATTTTTAATTCAAAGTGTCTTAGATTTCTTAGGGCTAGGACACTGGCTGACCTGTCTTAGGTACAAAACTTTTGGTCTCTAATGTTCTGGAAGGATTTAATCAATTTGTCTTACATTCACAGAGTAGTTGAGAAGCATGATGTCAAGTGTAGCTGGCTGCCTGTTGCATTGGAACTTTTCCTTCTGCATCCTTCTGCTGATCTGTGGTCTCCTCACTTTCTCTTTCAGGGCTGTGGGGGGCCCAGATACCAAGGTCTGGTTGGGAATGCTGATGTTGGGCATGTGGATATGGCCTACCGTGTGGTGGCAGATCACGTGCGGACCTTGTGTGTGTGCATCACTGATGGCATCTACCCAGGCCTCACTGGAGCAGAGTAAGGATATATGGAAACCGCGTAGTTTCCAGTAGGGAAATTAGGTCCAGAAGGGAATGGGAGCCGGGGGAAAGGTGCTAATGTGGACCAAAGATATGGAGAGATTCATGTGAGAGCCTGAAAGAGGTTCAGACCTGCATCTCATCCTTGGATTAGGTATAGAGTATGTGGAGCAACCAACCTTTGGCAGTTAGGCCAGGCCAAATAGGGGTTGCATGTGGGGGTGCACTGGACTGTGGGTGCTGGGCAGAGATGCTCACATGCTGCTTGGGGAATTCTGCCCTGCTTTCAGACTGGTGCTGCGTCGGATTCTACGCAGGGCTGTTCGCTTTTGTTCTGAAGTCCTTCATGCTCCACATGGGCTCTTGGCCTCCCTTGTGCCTACTGTAGTGGAAGTGCTGGTAAGTAAGAGCTACTGCTTTAGAGAAGACAAGTGTCAGACATTCTCTTCAGCTCCATGTTTGTATCCTGTGCAATGTCAGGAGACAACCTTGGACAGAATGGAGTACCAGGAGGGTGTATCTGGTGCACTGCAACAGTAAACATCTCTTGTCTGTGGATCGCTTGTGATGGGGAGCTGTGCTATTGTAACTAATGATACAGTCAGCCCAAATAAGCATAAATACATGCAACTACGCACTTGTTTCCTGAGGGCAGCAGTTTCTGAGCTGTCATATCTGGTTAAAGCTTTCTGAGATTGGTCTCTGTGATTACTAACAACATCTTAAATGACAGTGCTTTCTGCGCGTTGTGAACCAATGTGTTTGCCACAGAGGTGCTGTGCAAGGGTTAGCTGAGTAGGGTTATGGGGAGATAGCCAGGAGACAGCAGCTGTAAGTATGGGTGTGACTCTCCCATGTGATACTGTCTGAGGTTGGTGTTATCTCTAACTGATACTCACTCTACAGGGAGATGCCTATCCAGAGCTGAGGAAGAGTGCAGACCAGGTAAGCAATGCAGAAACCCTGGAAAGAGACCTCCCTCTCTCATAGACTTTGTAAGGCACTATTCTCAGAGGCAGAACCCTTTCACAGATCTTAGCTGGAGGATTTTGCATAGCCTACTCCATAGCGGGGTTCTCATGTATAGGCTGGGACGTGTTGGGACCATGTCTGCATCGTGGGCACTGCCTGGGCTTGAGAAGTATATTTAGTGGACTTTGTTGTGGGAGCTCTATTAGATCATTAGCAGGGACTCCTTGTTCTGATAAAAGGCAGCTGTTGCTCTGGAAAAGCTAGGGCAGCTATTTTGTTGAATGCAAGTACAGTCTGTTCTAGCCTGAGTACCCTTTGTCCAAAGTGGCTTGGGGATTTAAGGCTAGTCCCTGCTTGCTTCTGCTGACAGCAGCTGTGAAAGGCAATTTCTCTGTCTGTTTCAGCCATGCAATTTTAATTGGGTCATAGATAACAAAAGTGTAACAGGGAACATTTGTTTCAGCATCCATCTCTTCCCAGGTGGACGGTAAGTATTATCAGGGATGATGATAGGAGACACAATGACTTTGGCACTGTTTAATAGTGCAGCAGAGACACAAAATAATGGATGCTGGTTCAGGCAGACAGAGCACCCATTAGACATCCACTTGATTTGTTTGAGCTGTCTCTAGCAGCGAGCCCAGAGGTGGCAGGGCTGAGCTGAGCTGGAGAGCTTCCTGTGATGTTATGGGTAACCCTTCTTCTGTTCTTTGGGCAGGTTATGGATATCATCAATGAAAATGAAGTTGCTTTTCTGTCCTCCCTTGAGCGTGGGAGGCGCATCATTGAGCGGACAGTGCAGCAGATGAAACCTTCTGAAAATTTCCCAGGTAAGCCTCCTACCTCAGCCAAGTTGCACTTAAAGAT